GAGTGTTGGACTCCAGTTTGGTGGAGTCCGGTAGAGCGACCAGCAAGGACCAGATTGATTTCATGCACATTCCGTACGCATGGACTGTTCTCACCAGAGTGGATGAACAAAGGTTTCAGTGACATTTGGGACAGCGTGACGCCCACCGGTAGCAGCATAGATTAGCAACCGAATTGCGCGTGGTTTGGAGCCGACTTGTGTCCTTTTGCCACCGGAGCCAGGGTGCACGCCCACCTCCATGTCAAAGTATTGCCGAATTGGTCTGAGAGGCGCGGCCAAGTTGGAACGAAAGAAGGGAAGGTACGCCACGAATCCGAAGATGAAATCGGCGCGGTACGTTACTGTTACCAGGGTCTACGACTTTTAAATACTAGCGTAACTAACAACAAATCAAGAAAAAGCACACCAGAGTCCGTGCCCTCCTCTATAGAATAAATGAGTTTGTATAAATTTCAATTTGATAGGGATGGTGATCATACCAATCAAGCTAGCTGCATATTGACAATAGCGTTTGAGTGTCTTCTGAACCTTAAATCCTGGAAGCAGCGCCCAATTTGAAAAGTTCCACCCGAACTGTGAGTATGTGCCACCGAACAACGGAAGTGGGGTTGATCAGCGTCAATAAAGATAATACTAAACAGCTTCTCATGAACAGTCAGCGTCGAAACTGCAAAGTATAAATCAACGTGCCATCAATACGAGCGGACGTCAGTTGGCTAACCATGCTATTCACGTGAATATGGATGTAACCACGTCTACAATTATTTTATGGAGCAGAAATGGCTGCATATTTTTCACATAGATTATTTCATCTTCCGACAACGACCATCCATACTGTGTAACCTAAGTTGGCTGTGTAGCTTCTGCGCTTGCCTGACATCAACGGTCTGGGAACGGAAATAGGGGAACAACGCAGATTCAGATAGAGAATAATCTTCAGCGGTACACCTACTGGTTATACTGCTTGGCCAACTGTATCTTGTCTCTTTCCAAGATGGCGTGGTGGCTAAATGATTCTGGATGATCTTGTATGTCACCTACCCTACTCATTTACCAGTCTCATAATTGCTCCATTAGCTACGTTTCATGACACAACAAACAATTTCAGTTAACATACCATCTGTTGGTGCCTATGTTCGGGTTTCACGTGGAGTATGGATTCGGTGAGTACCACATTTTAGTTCAAATCCAGTTGTCACCCCAACTCCATTCACCCGAACCTAAGTGCGATGAATACAGAACGTTTGTGTCAAAGATTTCTTACTGTACAGTGGGACACCTAATACCAATTCGCACAACGAAACCCCAATGACCTTCACCTAACTTGGATAAGTTTGCAAGCAGGTTTAGTTCAATATGCAGGTACTTTCTGGAATCGGTTGCGCACTGGTGAGAACCGTGCTCTACTTGAAACCGCACAGCGCAACGACGATTGATGACGGGTTGACCGTTTAGTACACACTCACTATCCGTTGGAGTTTCTCACGCTGCCTGCGACTGCGTGACAGACCACCACAAAACTAGTGGTGAATCAATTGGAAGTTTCGCAATATATTAAATCGGTCGCTTCCGACGCCCGCATTCGGTTACGACCGCTATCGTGTACGCGTGTTAAACAAGCATTAACCTTAGAATCCACACATTCACTGCCGCGGTATCTGCTAGTCTTCTAAGCCCCTGCGAGCTTAGCAGACGAGACAGCAATCGCAGAACGCAGTGTATTCCTGTCCTGGATCGCACTAACGACTTCCTTTGAGTTAGTAAAATGAAAGAAGATCCTTTTTATGAAGCCAACGACTAATACACTACGAAGTATCTCAGATACTTCGCTTTAAGATTACTTAATCACAAGAATTTGCCTGTGGTCGCTGACCGGTAGCCAGTTAACTGATCAGCAAGTACCTAATTAGGCGAACAAGCCACGACGTCGAGCGCATTCCTGTATAGGGCTTACAGTATTATTACTTTGGATAAGATGAATGCTGGGTGTTTCCTGCTCGTACAACCAGTTTCGTATTCGTTTGTGCTCGTGAGACACAGACAATACGACCGCGACTCATAACCGGACGTTTCAGGATGTCAGTCTTGAAATCTCCAGCTGATAAGATCAAGTACGGTTGAATCCGGTCGTGGACCACGGTGTTGTCAGCGAGCAAGATGCAACAATCATTTGATTAAGACGCAGTCCCAATGGTCGAATTGACTAAGATTCATTTCAAATTGAATCGCGGTCCCCAGTGAGATTACGCCTCGAAAGCCATTCACACAAAGCGTACTTCAAAAGGACCCCATTCCCAAACCTGAATGTTTCACAGGAGGTCAAAAGCTTCAGAAGGTATATAACCCCACCAGCGATCAATTGCATGGATCTAGTTGGACATTAATTTCAGTTTCAAGCAAACTTGAACATCGGTTCAGAGCTTACTGACAAAGGGGCGCAGTATGCTTGGGAGTCATAGGACGAATATTTATACAGTATATGTGAGTAAATGCGGAAATACGTTCAATGGTTATGAAGCTGACATAATTAATGGGCTCAGAAGTGATAGTCTGATTAGTAAATCAGATAGCCATCTTATCCACTTGTCACAGAGGCATTCATCAAACCACGTCAGGCTAACAGTCGTACCTAGTATATTGTGTCAAAATTATTACCGTTCTCTCACTCGCCGATTCCTTATTTAAGCATGGCATGATTTCTGAATGATCTCCCTGGGTTTTCCAAATCAGCTGCATGCCATCCTTTTGGCTTTTTCCTCCCCCTCATTCTACCCGGAGTTCATGAGTTGACTCTGCACTTTCTGTGCGATTACTGCGTGGTTGGAGATAATTAACGTGCAGTTCAAACCGCTGGTGGTTATGGGTTTGAATCCAGTTGAATCCGATGGATGCGTACTGCTGATGAAACCCACCGGGTCTAAACTGCAGTCCAGTGCCTTTCCGTGCATGCGAAGGACTAGCTGATTTGAAACTGGCTGCTACGAACTCTATTAATTATTTCAAAATCCCCTACTCATCAGTACATTAACATATCTGCCTTAACAGTTTCTGAATGCTATGCTATTATTAGTGGACTTCTAGTCTTTCGGGGTCAACCCTGTCCTTTGCACCGTTAGTAAGTTGTATGGCAAGGGAGGATAAGACGCGGTATGTCGCAGTTAGCTTGCAAATCATAACAGTCAGAGGCGGTCCCCCGTGGCTCAGATGCATAAGTTGCTAACTGGCGGGTCAAGCCGCTGGTGGTTATGCATTGTAATCATGATGGGTCCGACGGATGCGCACCACTGATAACACTCATCAGGTTGAAAATGCAGTCTAGTGCTTTCCCGAGCATGTAGTGGACTATCTGATTTGCAAGCTAGTGCGATAAACTAAATTGATATTCTTTGGATATTCCCCAATGATTCTGAGGGCTGAATAACAACCCAAAGTAGTCCACAACCTACCCGGAGTGCATTGTAATTATAATACGAAGTGTTTACTTTGACGTAAGGCCTACTGGGTGATGCTTGAGTCAGCCGCTCCTTCTCCCCATAGGTCACTCAGAGAAAATCAGAGAAAGTGATACAGCATCCAAATACTGGGTCCATTGCTTTTAAAAAGGTACTATTATTCTGCCAATGCGCTTTCAAGTTACTGGTTTTTTTATCCAGACCTTCCTTCGTTACTCTTACCCTGACGTCTGTTTAGAGTTGTTGCTACGTGAGTTGGTAGTGCGCGTACGTACAAGCGCGTTGTACCAAGGTGATTTTGTGGCACAAGCTGACAGTAGACTCAACAGGTTGTCCGCTGATTTATCTAAAAGAAAATCGTTACTATGTTCACATGTCTACCCTAGCTTGCAAACTGTATCTCTCTCTACCACTGCTACAATAAATTTTCAGAAATTGCTACTGTTGGGAAGACCTCACAGTTGCATGAGTTCGCGCCGGACGCCGTTTTCAGACATTTAATTACACCATATTCTTGTCATAGTACGACTAGGCAATGACTTATCGTGACGATAGCAGATGGCAAGTGGGTTCGATCTCCTCCCCATTCACCGGTACAATGTTGTCGGCGATGTGAATCCCTCAGTGATGCCAAGATGGGGTAACAATCATGTCACATTGACAGTTACCTGCGTCTATCGCTTTCTAATGGCAACAACGTCACCCTAGCCATCAACTTCTACCAGCGAAGTTTACTGTTATAAATACTGAGGCCTACAAGTTGTGTGTTAACTTAATGCTCGTAAGAAACCTATCGAAGAAGGTCTCTGTCCTCTTCACCCTCAGTTTCGCGGGTATTCTTGCGGGGATTTTGCTCGCCTCGACAGACTTAACATGTCCGTGTTCGACCAGCTGCTTCGCATACAGAGCGCAGCTAGAAACAGCCGAATGTTTCGCCCAGATTAGGTAGCCGTAGCGGCCGTGGAGATTATAACAAATGACCAACTCGGCTGAACTTATCCGTCGGCCGCTGTTTACTTGGCTTATTAGCATCTTATCATCATGTCTTGAAGATAACTTTTTAACAACTTTATTCTCTCCACTGGTAAAATGAATGTGGGTTTGGGATTAAAAACGGATTTCACCACGTTAATCACAGTTTTAGGTTGGCTTAAATCAAAAAGTTATGTAATGAATTTGGCACGTTGTGCGTCACAGCTCACAGGGTCTTCTTGCGTCAATCTGGAGGATCCAGGTTGGATAATAAAGTGGATAAATTCCAATCGACTGCGGTTATGGAGCTATACACTGAGTACGATCATCTGAAGCTTATTAATCACTTGTCAGATGAAAACGCTGATCCTAACATGCTGCCTCACTGCAAAAAGTATTAGATGCTTGAAGCTGTATTTTTGTTCCTTCATGATCAATAGCGAGGAAACCAATGTTCCCACAGATGGGATTCGATTAAACTTAGGGTCCCGGTAGTTTCAACTTTCTCTCGATGTTTTCGCAAAATGCAATCCACTTGTAACAGCTCCATTTGTCTTCTTGTTTTCCTCACTCTAGCTTACCGACATCAACGTCAATGGAGGCAAATTAACCTTGTGGCAATTTCTACTGGAACTGTTGATGTCGGGTCGGTACACGAATTTGATCCGCTGGACCAACAAACAGGGGGAGTTCATTCTACTGCAGGCGGAAAGTGTGGCAAAATTATGGGGTCTGCGTAAAGATCGGAACCATCGTATGAACTACGATAAGCTGAGTCGCGCATTGCGATATTACTACGAAAAGAATATCATACGCAAGGTGCACGGGCACAAATTCGTGTATCAGTTTATCGGCTTGCAAAATTTGCTAAAGTATTGTCAAACATCTGCATGTGACGAAGGATTGCAGACTGCGAACCGTCACGTCGTTGCTCCTGGAACGGAACAGGATTTGCAAAATAAACCTAGCATAGGTGAGCTGAGCTTGGTGAAGGACCGTGAATCTTTCTATGAGACTAGAACCCACGAGACGTCAGTCACAACCTGGGTGCATAATCGTCAACAGATAATGCAAACTTCGCCTAAAGAGGTAGTAGCAGTTGACCAACTCGAGAAACATGATCCGTCAGTTAACAAAGATTACTCCGAAAGGACAGTGCATAAAACGAACAGAGAGGCCTCTGTATCTGACTGCCCTTCCAGAACGGTGGGCCCTTCTGCTGAAGGGTGTTCCCTTCCGCCCTATTCGAGTTATCCATTTGAAGTCACTAATCAGAGTCCTATTCCGAATTCCCCCTTTGTAAATTCGCTCAATTGCGATACGGTTACAACGGAGAAACTCATTTGGTTATCGAGCCTTTTTTCATCTCTGGCCTCGGTTGTTTCCTTGAACCAGTCCTTCCCCCCAATGCCAAGTTCACAAACGATAAGTCTATCTCAATCCCCAAACGTTTACCCTGTGGTGTCTTCTAGGAGGTGGAGTGTAAACACTGAACCATCGCATGTGCCTCCACTGCGCACACTCATTGATCATCTGGATGCGGTGCAAACCCTTACTCCGCTTTCGTCACATTCTTTAAGGAATCCAACTCGGGATACGATTTCCGAGGGTCTGCATAGCACGACCATTGCACGAAATTCAAAGGGCCTACGGCAAGTTGTACCAGGGGAACCAAGTCAAAACGACTTCAGAAGTAACACAACAAACGCTAACCGTACCACATATACACCATCTGATGCAACTCAAGTATATCGATCTCCTTCTCCACACTGTCAATGCAGTTGCCATCGTTCGTTCTCGTTGGAATCCAAACAACCAGCAACTTATCTGACCTCTTCAGTTGGAGATATATACGCAAATGACAATTCAGGACCAGATGTGAATCGCTCCCCCAAAGTGACTGAAGCGCGCATTGCAACAGATGTTTCCCCAACGCAGTTGCATCACCAGCGCCACACAATTAATATGCAACGCCTTGAGGAACAGATTTCCAAACTTGGGAGAACCAGTCTGTGGAATGCTCGCGCCCCGCATGCAGTCGGAGCATGTGATTTCGTGAGGTTCTGTTCTACACCTCGAGGAATGCATAGCGATCAAGACACGATGGCTTCTTCCACTACACACTACTCCACCGATTCTCTTGGTGTTCGGCAGATGAATAGTCCAAGAACAGGGGAATCCGATGATCCCGCCAACTTGGGAGCAGATGTCCGAACCTCAGGAGATGATCAATGTGTTTGGATGCCAGTACCTTTGAGTATGTTAACTTCGTGGCTGCAGCTGCTGTCTACAATTAGGCCATCCCTCTGTAACGATGGAATCACTTGCCCTGTTGAAGGACATTCTAATGATGGCCTGACATCCGGCGAGGAAACGGACTCAGTTCGCCCAGCTGTTTCACCGACTCGTGCTTGTGATTCAATACCTCTCGTAGTTAAACAGGAAGTGTTTGATGAAAGCGGCCGATAACAAACGCGCCTATTTATTGCATAGATAGATGCGTGCACAGTTATGAGACACGGAAATTATTGTTTTCTATGCCGTGGTCTCTGTCCAACCCGGTTGCCCAAGTTTACTACCTTTATCCTTCTAAATATTTCCTTTTAAGTTCAGATGTAAATACGATTAATTCAGCAGAAGTTTTATGCGTTTTAGATTTTCCTTTTAATCAACACTAACCGGCCTGCTCTCTCTCCTGCCCGGTAAGTTTTACTTTCCTATCAGATGGGTGGGTATAATCTGGTCTCACCCAGTTTACTGCTGACCCTAAGGTTTGGGAGTCCATCAGACAGTGGCGTCCGCGATCAGTCGCTAACTGTTTCCAGATTAAACCGGCGAACAAGGCCAAAGGAATACCCAGGTATAAGGCCATAATTCTCAGTGCCTTGTTATCATAGGGAAGCAATGGAGGAATGGCGTGCTTTCGAATGTCTACAAAGGTCACAGTGTAGTTCACTCATAAAAATCAGTGAATCTCATCAAGTAGTCCATGTTTTACCACCGCAATGATGGTCGCCATCCCCCAGAGATTTAACGCTGACAGAAGGCATTATTCCTGGTAATCCCACCCAGTCATTATGTTGAAGGATTTCTACTGATGTGTGACTAGGGCAAATGGTAAGCATATGCGAACCAACGATCCTGGATACGTACGACGTGCATTACAATTCGCGAAGCTAGATTATAATACTGACAATTTATCAGTAGTTTACTTTGTTTAACATTTCAACACACCACGCATTTGTTGCATCCTAGTTATTCACACATTGACAGACTGGATAATTCGAGTTATCCGAACTAACTAACTGATTTTCGCCTTCATTTATATGTTTATACGTTTCTTTATATAACATTTACGCCTTTCTAATCATAACCTGAACCAAAGTGTCTATAGTCCTATGTTTTACTGCGCTACGTTTACGGAGCTTCCATTACTGCCATTGTTCGAACTTAACTTGTAGGACCAAGGTCTATTCAGCACAACTTATTCCGCCCACTGCTATAGTATTTTGCAGCCCAGACCGTGAGTACGTTTGGTGCTTAAGCTTTTCAATCTGCAGCATAGGCTGCAACTACCTACCTCGTCGTGTAGAACTCGCGATTGTATAAAGGTTTGGAAACCAACGGTCATCAAGACTGTGCGCACATGTGCAAACGAATAACTCGCGAGCCAACATCGTTCGCGAACGTTGGAATACAAAGTACGCATATGACAACAGTCGAGGAACGGGACTGAGTACAGAGTTTCGCTTTAATCTTCGGCAGCATCGGTTAACTTGTTGGCTACTGTTGGCATCGAGACGAAGTGAAGAAGATTGCGACGTTGGACAATCGAACCGTGGATTTATCACGGATAAAAACAGTGCGCTTAACAGTTCCCGTAGGTAATGAGTGAGATCAACATGGATTTAACAAGATAAACGAGTAGCAAAGGACTTACCGTAAAAAATTTTACGTGAAGAGATAGTTTGATCACTTCGTCCCCTATCCAAGGTACCTAGGTTAAATCGTGTAATGTAACTGGCATAATGCACCGTCAAGTCGGGCAATAAGTTCCGCTAACGCAGGAGCGGGGTTAACCGAATGCAGAGGTAAGTTCCACGGATTGCAAACAGGAAATGAGAAAACTTTCCTTTGGCATTCCAACCGGTTGTACTGTGTGGCTAACTTCAAACGGTGGCCGCTCAGTGAGGTTTGTGACTGAGTCAGTAAGAGTCGACCTAGGTGTTTAGGATCCTTGATGATCTGATACACCAGTGGATTACATCGCAGAAGACTATATTATTCAATGAAAAGTCCTAATCTTTAGTCACAACTAGGAAGGGAGTTGTAACAATCCCTTAACAAACTTAACGCCCCCGCTGTGGATTCTGAAGAGCAGTGATGTCACGTTTTTGCCAACGGCGCGACACCTGGATGACGTATTCCACATGTGGCCCCATGTAAATGTTGAACATTTGTGAGAAAAGGTGGGATCAAACCGGCCAAACGCCTTCTGCCGTAGCACCACTAATTTCTCAACTTGTTTGAGCATCTGAGATCATCCTGCGTGTGCGCCCCATGATCACTTGCAACAGCATTGTGCTATAACAAGTGTTCTTCCAGCCGATATTCGCGGATACCCTGGTGGTGCGGGCCCATTATTCCACATTTGACATCGTAGAACTCAAACATGTTCTGAGACGACAACTCGCAAGTTTTGTTGAGTTTGCCTTGCGGTGCTATGAGGCCACCTACTCAGTTGCCTGCTCGCCACATCTTGAGATAATCCGCAAGGAATAGAAAGTTAGAAGTTGGCACTAAGAATAGAGACGGTCCTCGTACAGGGCCTTGAGGGACGTAAAAGCAAACCTACATCGAGTTGAACACAGCGCTGCGAAATTACCCATTTAATCGTAGGAATTGTGTAAGAATGAATAAGGATAAGGTCACCGATCCCATAACTCCTAAGCTTGTAAAGAAGAATGCGGTGGTCCAGATGATCAAAAGCTTTAGAGAAATCAAGGTAGGCGGAGTGGACTCCTTCTCCAGCATCGCTGGATTCCGTCCAGATCGCACGGACTAACAGAATATTCTTCGTACATGATCGGTTGTGATGGAATCTATGCTGCGCCTTCACGATGATATTGGAAGTTCTGAATCGATGATATTGATCCAATGAGTTCTGCGAAGACAGATTCCATAAGTTTAGCAAGCACAGGAAGAAGAGGAATGGGGAGATAGTTTTGTGGTACTACTGTATGACTAGTTAATACTAGTCCGAGACGGTGCGCGAAAGTAAGCGCGGATATCAGAAAGCAATGGGAGTCGGACACAGCGGATTGTATTCGCTGAGCTACAATAAGAAGCGGACAGATGAAGCGAGACGAGAGCGAACACATGAGCGCGGGAACTTACAAGGCTGTTGTGTGTCGAGCCAGTTGTAAGGAACATTAAAACAAGGAGTAATGTACAATCGGTCAACAATTAAATTGTACATGAAAGATAGCGGTTATCTTTTAGGGCGCTACAGAGCTCCCCCCTAGAAGGCTGAAAGCCTTCGAAATCGAAAAGTCCTGTTGAAACGAGGTTCGTAAAGCAAAATGGTGCCGAGTAAAAATAAGCGTGCGTTCGTGTAAATGGGGGTTCGTCGGAAGTCGGAGTCCGCTGTGCCGTTTATGATTTGTTATTTATTGATTGCAGGACTGGGTGCATTTCGGCGAGCCGTTGGAGCGGGCTCGTCGGGTTACAAAAAAACTGGCTAGTCCAGAAAAAGCCGACAGGACCTCAACCTCCGCTGCTGCCAAACGGTGCGCTTGGGAGTGGTCTCTCCCCCCGCCGCACCCCGCCCCGCGCCAAAACGACCCTCGTCCCACGAAGAAACGACCATGGTCTCACGTAGAAGCGACCCTCGTACCGCGAAGAAGCAACATTCGTCCCGCGGAGAAACGACCAGCGTGCCCGTCAGGGTCCTCGAAAAGATTCCTCGTGTGGGCCAGTCGATAGGGGGGGGGGTTGGGGCATGTAGAGACAAGAAAATAGAAAAACACGCGCAGAAAATGCCAAAAAGAACAAACGAATGATCTGCGTGTTTAAATATTTTTTTGGTTTTTAAATATTTTTTGAAAAAGGTTTTTCGGAGGTTTTTGATATTTTTGTTTGTTTTCACAACGTTAATCTACCATAAAGGGGGCAAATATATACAACATCTACAAATCTAAAAATATTTACACTGTACATCTTCGGAAAAACGAACGGGCTTACGCACCTCCAGACCACGGCGATTGGTCGTGGGAGGCGGCGGAATAGGTTCGGGAGATGTCGGGATTGCTGAAGCTTGTAGACCAGGATCGTGGTCTGGTTGGACTTCAATAGCATGCGGAAAGCCGGTGCGGTGATTTTTGACGTCGCAGGAAGCACTACTAGACGAAGTAGGCGAGGTAGTTTCTTCCATAAAGGCGGGTTTCAGACGGTCGATGGTGACGACTTCGCGTCGACCACCGCGGTCAATAGTGTACGCCTCATTCGCACGATGTAGCACCTTGAAAGGTCCTATGTACGGCGACTGAAGTGGCTGTCGAACACCGTCTGCGCGAAGAAGGACGTGTGAACACGTAGACAGTTTTTCGGGCACGTACACTGGTGTCTTCTGCGATCGAGGAGCGGGTGGACTCAGCTCATGCATCTGGTGAGCCAATAGATAAGTGCAACTTCCGTAGTCAAAAGTGGAAGTACATGGGGCTGGTGCTACCAGCTGTCCGGGCAACCGCAGTGTGCAACCGTAGACTAGCTGCGCTGGTGTGGCGTCGAAGTCGGTTTTAACCGTGTTTCTTAAGCCTAGGAGAACGAGGGGAAGCGTTTCAGACCATGAAGGATCTGCGTGCGCACGTAGCGCTGCCTTCAACTGGCGGTGAAAACGCTCCACCATGCCGTTAGCGGCCGGATGATAAGCTGTCGTCTGGACGTGGCGACAGCCTAAATCCTTAAGCAACGTGGCAAAGGTTGACGAGAAATGTGACCCTCGATCGTTGGTCACGATGGCGGGACAGCCGTATTGAGCTACCCAACGCTCCAGAAAAGCTTTCGTTACTGTTTCCGAAGAGCAGTTAGGTATTGGAATAGCTTCCGGCCACCTAGTGAATCGGTCGACACAGGTCAGCAGATACACCTAGCCTTTGGAAGGCGGCAGAGGACCTACGAGATCGACGTGCAAGTGATGAAAACGTGCGTCTGGCGTCGGAAACGTGCCGAATGGACTTCTCGTGTGCTTATGCACCGCGCGTTGACACGGAAGGCAAGCAGCTGTCCAAGTACGGACGTCCCGATTAACATTGCGCCAAACGAATGGTGCGGTTACGAGTTTAACCGATGCACGAACGCCTGGATGAGACAACCCGTGCAACGTGTTGAACACGGTCTGCCGAAACTCGCGTGGGACGGCTGGGCGCGGCGTGCCCAGAGATAAATCACAGAGTATGGTTCCGTCTGATGATGTCAGACGAACGGGTCGTATGTCCAATGAGAGAGACCTGCGTAGTAGATCAACCTCAGGATCGTTGAGTTGTGCTGTGGCCATGGCTGCCAAGTCGATAGCAGTGCCGGCGTCAGCGGAGATAGCTTGGATGCGAGAAAGTGCATCAGCGACGGCGTTGTGCACACCTGAGACATGTCATA